AATATTGCCATATAAAAAGCATGAGATGATTCTTCCTATACTTGCTTATGTGCTAAGTTGCTTCAGTTGTGTCCAACTCTTTGTGGCCCCATGGACTGTAGCCCACTGTCCATGGGGGTTTTCCTGGGCAAGAATACTGGAGTGGGTTGCCACGCCCTTCTCCAGGGCATCTTCCTGACCCAAGGATTGAACCCAGGTCTCTTAGGTCTCCTGCATCAGCAGGTGGGTTCTTTACCATTAGCGCCACCTGGGACGCCCATCGCTTGCTGATGGGGTTAGTCAAATAACCTGTAGGATTGATTGACTTTCTCCTTCACTTTTCTACTGGCTTCCACTTATTTGCCTTTGGAATGATTAGAACTCTCTGTATGCTTATCTGGAGCCCCTAATATGGAAGCACACAACATGTATAGGCATTTCTAATTTTCCTTCAAATAGTGTTTACTATTTCTGCCAACTACTCATCATTCAGACTCTGTTCACCTAAATCACAGTGGACTTAGCAGTTAGATAATTGGAGTTTATCATCAACAGCGGTAAGACTCTCCTGAAATGTATCATATTTCATGTACTATACACAGGGGATTCAAAGATGGGTAGGGGATGTCAGACACCATTTAAGCAGAGTTCGGTGTGTATTCATCTTGGCAAATACTTTAATTACTGGTGTATTCAAATGCCAGCTCTACTCTTGTGCTTTGGAGTATTGGTTAAGTTTATGGAATTTTTAGTCTATGAAATAGAAATCATCACCTCCGAGGGCTTATGTTAGGAGCAAATAAAAGAATGTACAAGAAAGACCTCTGAAAACTTATACAAATATCAGATTATTGTTACTCTTATTGGACAAGGAAGATCTGCTGCACACAAATGACAACTTGCTAGAAGAGTTTACTTCCATACTACACTTATCTATAAGCCAAGTCTACAGGTCATTCAGCAGTGTCTGGCAGTGATGCTGAAAGACATGAGTGATTACTGATTAACATGCAGACTCAATAGTGCTGTGATGAAGGCAGCATGGGGCCTGACACATAGCACAAGTCCGATAACTATTTGTGGAGTCGAACAGAATTGAGTCTTAAAGAATGAATAGAAATTGGATGAGTCGATGGTGTAATGGATGATTTTCTGAGCAGAAGGAACAGCACCGAAAGTGCTTTGAGCATTGGAGAAATTTTAGAAAGTTTGGTGAGGCCAGGATGAACTGGGAATTGATGAGAGATGAGGTTTTCGAAGTAAACAAGGGCCAGGTTGTAAAAGATACTCTGTGTTAGGCTGGAGCTTGTTTTTCATTCTGAAGGCAATGGTAAACACTAGAAAGATTTTAAATAAAAGAGAGATATGGTCATACTGACCTTTTAGAATGATTTCTCCGGTGGCAAATACTTGATGGATAGAGAGACTGGGAGGAAACTATCTTCATGGTCCAGGTGAGAGGTGGGTGGGTTTGAACTAAGTGGTGGCAGCTGGGGGCCAGGAGACAAGTCAAAAGAAATTCATGAGACAGAATTCCCAGACTTCCAGAGAATTGGTGTGTGTGTGTGTGTGTGTGTGTGTGTGTGTGTGTGTGTGTGTACAGGGATCGGGATGACTTGCAGACTTCTGTTTTGGATGGTTGACGGAACTATTAATAAGGACAAAGTAAACAGAAGGAGCAAGTCCATCAAGAAGAGGGTAACTTATGCCCATAATCTAACTTAAAGAAAACACATATGTTTTAGATAGAGTTTCATCCAATATCCTGAAAACCTCCTTAGGTGCTATCTTCTCCTAAGCATGGCTTTCTACATGGTTCAGTAGATCAGTCAAATGGGTCAGAAGAGTTGTTTGCTTGGACGCCTTTCAAAGGGTGGAAGAGTGAGCGGATGAGGCGTCTGGACCTGTGTGTATTAGTAGATGGCTGGTTTCAACTCTGTTATGACAGACTTCTTCTAAATTCTTTCCAACCATGGATTTTTGACAATATTCCTCCACCCACTGGACTGACACTGAATAGATTATGTGTATGTGGTTGGTTTAGTGAAAGATTCTTAGTGGAACAGCTTTTAAAATTCCTTTAAACCGGTTCCGGTGATTGCCTTGTAAGTTGAGGCTGTTTCTACCCATTGATTGGCTGTTTCAAAGGCAGCTTCAGAACTGTTTTTCATAATTTTAATTCTGAAATTTATTTTATTTGTAAAATATTGCCATATAAAAAGCATGAGATGATTCTCATTTATGGAGAAATATTACTGTTTTTGCAGAATGAATGTGAGTTTCTTGAAGGCAAGAATTCCTTTTGTTTATTTCTTTTATATGTTAAGTCCTCAGCAGATAGAGTTTCTGGCACATATGAAGTGCTTAGCAGATGTGTCTGTGGAACATGGAATGATAGAATTTAAATGATGGGTATTTTTTTAAAGAAGACATTTCAGAATTTCCTAAGTCAAACATATTTCATAGTAATAGGTATAATCATAGGCAGGACCTTAGCCTAGAATACTTTTAGAGTATTTTAGATGGAAGCAAAGCTTGTAAATGACTGTTTTGTCTTTCTCCACCCACGAGAAATGCAGAAGAATGCAGCATTTTTTTTTCTGATCGTCTTTAAAGTTAGTCTGGGAGTTTCCTGGCACTTCCCTAGTCCATTTGTAGTTTATGGGCACTTGGGAGTTTTAGTTCTGTTGCTTTCCCCAAAGCACTTCTTATCAACCATAACGTAAAGTTGATACGTGGATCTCTATGTAGCATAAGAAATGTTTGCTAAGCATTACTAAGGGTATAGAGATAGTGATTCTAATTAAAAAAAAAATCCTGGTATTTTAAGCAAGATTTTCCATTTTCCCTTTGAATTAGTAAATTACATAGCAACATTAACTCATCCCTCCTACCCACATAAAACTTCAAGCAAGAGCATCTTTTAAATGCCAACTTTTCCAGAACATACAATTATAAGGCATTGCTTAAGAGCAGCAAAACTCCTTTCCAGTAGAATTCACTGTAACACCTGGCAGACAACTGGCTGTTAGTCATAGGCTGTGATGTCTCTGGGGTTTGCCTGTCTTTTATGGTTTCTCATCTTCTGTCTTCTGATTCTTAGGAAGACTTCCTCCTTTATCCTTTTGGTCCTTCAGGGTTGTCATCATTAGGCCCTATCCCTACTACCACAGACAGGAGTGAGTCTGGGACCCTGACTGGCTGATTCAAGTACATCATCCCCAGCACAGTGCCAGGTTTAGAGACAGATGTGTGACTCAACATCTGGGCATTCTCACCTGAGAAGGAAGTCTAGGAGGACTGGCTGATGATGTTCTCGGAGCCAGTGTGTCCAGCTGTGCTTGATGTCCCTGACCAGACTTCCCAGGCTGTGTTTAAATAAGTTTGAGTTGGATTTCTACAATTTGCAATCAAAGGAGTCCTAACTCATATATTGTGAATTATTAATAGTATGTCATTTGAAAACTTTGAATAATCAGGATATGAACTAGTATGTCACAAAACCCCTCCATAGTATTTGGGATTGTACCACATACTTATTTCCAGAATTGCAATTTAAATTACTTGAGTTCAAGACACATTTAGCCTAGAAGCTCATGTCAAACAATTCTTTATTTTTTTATGGTACAAATTAAAAGTGACAGATCTGAAGCTGTTAAGAAATACACAAAGTGCAGCTTAACTGACCATACAGATATTGCTCTAGATTAAGTACAGTTTTGTCAGTTTTATTTTTTAAAACATTAAGCAACCTGTGCAGATAAATCAGCTTTGGTTTCAATGTCAGAGCAAGTAAGGAGCTTTTAAATATCCAGTTTGGCTTCTTGGTCACAAGTCCATCATGTCAATATCTCGTCATGATGCTTTTTTCAAAACAACCCAGTCTGTTTTCCTGCCCTCCTTTCTGCTGCCTGCTTCAGGTGCAGAGAAAGCAGCTTTCTTTGCCATGTCTCATCAGTGACTCTGGTAACCAGTCTGGATCACAGCACGTAGGACAAAAAAAAAAGAAATCACCTCCTTAACAACAAATAAACAAATTGTGCCTCACAGAATTTCAAGTTGAAGACAGGCAAATCACGTGACAAAAAGCTCATTACAAAATGTTATCCAAACAGATATTCCAGTCAAACCTTGAAATGAAAATCAATTTCCTTTTTCTCCATTTTTTTTTTTAAACTTGATCATTAACTGGGTACAAGTAGAGTGCTGAGGTAAAACATTGATGAACAGTTTGTATTTCTTTTTTTTTTTTCTTAAAATAGGAACAGTTTAGTATTGCAAGATTGTCAGCAACGTTTAGCCATATCTATACAATGTGCATATACCTACAAATATTGAGCTTTGGTCCAGCGTAGAGAAGATGAGCAAAGGCATTTTACAATTCTTTTTGGTTATAGCTTGAGTTCTTTGATACACCTCTACTTGTTTGTTTTTTTTTTCCCTAGCTCCTTTTGCTTTTCTGTTCTCTCTTTCTGTGGAGTATGTGTGTGCGTGCATGTGTGTATGTGTGTGTGTGTGTATTGTGTGACTACAACATAAAGAAACCAAAAACCTTGCAATGCAATTAAAACTCTCAACTGTTCACAATGTTTTCTTTTTTTTTTTGATTAAAAAAAAAAACCACAAACAAGTGTCAAGTATAACATCAGTCATTTTTTCTTTTTCATTAAACAATGAAGAAAATGAAGATGACAGTCATTTTAAAATACGTAAGAAAAATATTGAAGCTTGAAATACAATCACATATGCCTGAAGCGGCTTTTACTTTTGTTAGTGGCAACCTTAACCTTCAGTTCATGGAAACCTAAAAGACACTTAAATGCTACTGGCATATGAAGTTGCTTACAAGTGGAAATAAGAGATGCAGTAATAAAATTAAGCAGTAGGTGTGGTCCCAAAGACTTACGAGTTACACAGTATAATTTATATTCCTAAGAATCTGTTCAGGCACCTTTTTATGCCTTGTAGCAAAAAAGTTATCTGTAAAAAATTAATATAAGAAGCATTACAACACCTTATAAATAATTTATAAAACAATACAAAATTATAAAACTATAAAAAAAATCACTGCACATGAATGGTTTTACGACTGTGGGATGAATATATTTCTTTTTTATTCCACTCTGGAAGATTATTTTATTTTATATTTTCACTGTCCTAGTTATACCCTCCCAATTATAGATCTCCGAACTGAGCAGGCCTTATGTAAGTGCTGCTGGCATATGTTTAAACATTTAGCATCCATCATATGTTATCTTGTTAACTTCTCTTCTTGGGGAGCTTTTCTTGATGGAATTTTGGAGCAGGTCCTAGGAGAATACAAAATCTGTTTAATCGATACATTTTTGGATTTCTGCGTTGTTAGTTATTTGCGCATTTTGAGGTGGCCAAATGGGTACCAGGATGTCATTGGCACTGAAGATCAAGTTGGCTGTGATCCAATTAGCATCAGATCAGAGAAAGGGAAACAGCCTTACAAGCTTGTGTTTCATTGAGAGCTTTCTCTCAATGAATCAGGTGGTCCCCGGATTCCTGCATGAATTATCTAGGCAGGGGGCATAGGGTGGGGACAGCTACACCACTGAATTGATTCCACCAGCACAGAGGTCAAAAGGTAGAAGAAACTCAAACCCGTTACAGGGGAGGGGAGTATGTTAGGGGAGGGGAGTATGTTAGGGGAAGAAGATGGCATTTCTAATCAGTTGGGCAACTTGAGGTTTTTTACTTTCAGAATTTACTTCTAGATAGTATTAATTATTTATTAATTATTCAGGAATATTTACACCTCAACGGTAGGGAAACTGACACTGTTCTTTGCCCACTTCTATAATGGAACACTTTTTGCCTCTCTCTGCAGAAAACATCAACTGCAGGTCCCAAGTGTTCATCTGCACTGCCATCCTCATGTCTTACCTTTCCCCTCTGACTTATTAGGTTATTTTCTCCCACAGAGAAAAACCTACTCTTTGGAGTAGGTTATTTTGAAAAGTGGAATAATCCCCTACTTCTAAGTGTGAAGGCTACTCTGAAGTACTCGATAACCCACTTCTATATTTTTCCTGTTAGTGGAGGCACTTCCTTGTTAAAACTTCCTGTCCCCTCAAGAACCCAGCCGCAATTCCCAGTGTTTAATTCATCTGCAAACTCTCTGCTGCCTTTGTATATCCCCAAATAATTGCTCTTCCCCAACTCCTGGGAAAAAGTCTACCATCGCTATTGGAAGGAAAGTGGTAGCAGAAAAGATGGACTTTACAGGATGCTCAATGGCCTTTAACAGTCCGGTCATTCTCTTTCTCTCTCTCTTTTTGGCCTGTTTTCTTCGTGTGTATATGGGTGTGTGCATGCTATGTGTGCATTTTGACTGAAATCTTGAGACATTTCTTTGGCTATCAGACTTCTGAGAGAAATTGCTTTGCACAGAAGCATAACATAGATGTAAGTATTGAACCAAATGTGCAGCTTATGTTTATATTACAAAATTAGTTTTGGTCAGCTCTCCATGTACGTGGCCAACAGACTGAGAAAAATCCCAAGCTCTGGTGTGGACAGTGAGCACAATTACAGCTTATGCCAGTGTTGATAGTTCATTGAGCAAAGCCCTAGATATTCTGGAGTCTCTCCTGCATTTCACGGGGGTCTGGGTGGAAAGACACCATGCCCACTCTCTGGCCTTCTGGCAGACCCTGGTAGCCACATGAGGGAGAGACAGACAGAGATGGAGGAAAGTGAGAAATTTTCTTTTCTCAAACCCACAGGTCATAGTGAGAAGAAAGAAACGGATGCTTTGGCACAGATCCAGGATGCCTCCCCCCCAAACAAAGACAAAAACAAAACAAAAGAAAACCCTCCCCCCAAATAAAAACCAGTAGTGAGCCTTCCAGAATGGCTTCAACAACGGCGCCCACCCCACGGGTGGTGACGATAGATAGGAAAGATGGGAGAAATCAGGCTTGCTATTTTTCTGTTAAGTACAAATGTAAAATCTCAGAACACAACTTGACAGGCAGAGAAGAATAGACTCATGGTCGCGTTTGCAATGCAGTGTTTCTGACTTTGGTTAATAGGTTTCATAGTGAATCAGCACTTAGAACCTGAAAGAATGCCGTCCATAGTCCCTCCTCCAGGTGGCAGGCTTGTATTCGCTTTGAACAGAGAAAAGTTTTCGTTTGTTTGGTGGTGGTGGTGGTTTTTTTTTTTTTTTTTTGGTTTAGTTGTTTTTCTGTTTCCTTAAAATGTGTTCACATTTTCATAGTGTACAGAAAAAGAGTTTGTGGTTATTTGGTTTGCTTTAAATCCATTAAAAAACTGGCTTTGGGGAGACAGGTGGGGGAGGGACCTATCCTCCCCCCGACACCTGGAATGTGGTGTACTCGTTGTTTAAAAATTTTCAAAAAAATTCTTTTTTTCTTTTTTGGAAAATCCCATGGAGGCGTATAAACCATCCTGTCCACTTGGTAATTTTCTTAGTCTTTTACTTACAAGGGTGATGACTGGGGCTATCTTAAAATTTATTTTCAATGTAATTTTTTTTCTTTTTGTGGGGAGGGGGTGGTTATGGGATGAAGTCCCAAGGGTGGAGTTTAGTTTCCGTGGATTTTTTTTTTTTTTTTTCTGATTTTGAGTGGGTGTCTCTTTAGGAATTTTCTTCCAGCGAGTCTGTTAAGGGCTCCAGAGGGACCGCCGTGGCTGGCTCGTGCTGTTTTAAGCGTTTAATCGTGTTCTTCAGGGCTTGCCTCTTATTGCAGAACCAAACTCTAACTACTTCCCGGTCATAGTTCAGCTTCTCGGCAATTTCGGTCATTTCCTGCCCAGAGGGGTGTGTGTTCTTCTCAAAGTGGGCATTGAGGATCTCAAGGGCCTGGGGCGTGAAGGAGGTGCGCCTCTTGCGCTTTTTGGACGGTTCACTCCCGATAAACTCGGTCAGGTTCTGCATACCTGCTCGATGGCGGGCCTCAGCCTCAGCCATCCACCGCTCAAGCACCGGCTTGATCTTCTGGGCACTTTTAGGAGTGATGTCCAGCTTTTCAAACCTGGCAGGATACAAAAGGCCAGGGTTCAGTTTGGCTGTCAGACTGCTAGCTATAGTGTTCTCTTGGGCTTCCTGTGGTAGGAAAAAGTGGCTTCTCAGGATGGTGTGTCTGGGGGGAGAATTGAGAAAGAACAGACTTACACGGAGTCCTCTGCCAGGGTGGGCCTTCTGCCTGCCTGCCTGCCTGCCTGACTGACTGGCAGAGCGAATTCACTCCAGATAAGCAGCCAGCTGCAAGGTAGCCCACCCCGCTCAAGCCAGCGCCCACCGCCTGCATGCTTCATGCCCCCGACATGCAGCCCGCACACCCACATGAGGACCAGGTGAGCACGGGTGGACACAGCACAACACAGCGGCCACCATGACAGAAACGAAAAGCCACTCGTAGATCTTTTTCCTGAAAATGCTTGAGACCTGAGCTTTGTTTTGAATCCACCCAGCACCATTTCCCCCAAACTTCAGAATCCTTAAGGCAAAAATTAATGCCAGGAAGTGACATCAAAGACAAGAGCTGTCATGTTCTTTCCACTTAAAATGATTCTTTGTATGTTTTCCATTTGGTTTCCTTCAATCCCCCATGGACTTGGTGATAAAAAACGTTCTATCCATTCTAATCATCAGTGATGGCAACTGGGACACGTTCCTTTTATGATTCTCTTTTCATCTCTGTTTTGTGTCTCATTTTAATCTCTTTCTCTTCCCCCAAGACCCCTCCCATCTCTGTCTCTCTCTGGTAACAAACAATTTTCACCATATGTAAGTTAACAACATGCTCCCTTTTCAGGTAAAACATAACCCCTTGTTACTCTACTGTTGGACACAAACAGCTGGACACATTGTAATTACTATGAACACCCCCCTACTCCCTGGAAGTGCTAGGGCCACCTCAGGCCTTTCAACACAAGCCAGTGTAATGGTGTACTTTTGCACCAGGGTATCAAGCTGTGTTTAATGTGCTATATCTGCAAACTGTACTTGAATGATATCATTTTCTGTAAATGAGGTCTTCTATATATCAATTGCCATCAGCAATTCTTTGCTACACTGACTTAAAAATATATGAAGCATCTTGGACAAAATTATATACAGTGTTTTAAGAGGTCATCCTGGTATCAAATTTATACACACTCTCAATGAAATACAGGACTTATTCCTTTTATTTGTTTGTTTATTCTAATACTAAATGCACAACCCTCTAGGATGATAACTTTGTATCCAAAGCATTCTCCTCTGTCTTTTCGAGTTCAATGCTGTTGAAAAACAACCTTCTGACTGCAGAGTGCATCTTATTACAATTGACTGTTTTCATAGAGTGAAAATGAACCTGCTCTTGTCACAGCATGTTTTAGGAGGATGCTTGCACAAGGACACAAAAGGATAGGCTTCCTTTATGTACCTTAATCTTATTTTTTGGCATCCCATTTTAGATATCTTATGTTGTGATAAGCAGCACCAATAGAATCAAATTTTAATGTGATTCCTGTAGCATTCCCTTCCACATATAGATCAAGAAGTTGTTTATTTAAAAAAACTCCCAAATTTCGGCTGGACAAAGAGGAAAGGAGTACATTTTGCTTCCACTATAAAATGAACTAATTATTTATTATCATTTAATGAGCTGCTCACTATGGCAGGCTCTGCTAAAGTGCTCATTGTTGTGTTCATTTGCCACATACCACACTTTACCATCATTTGCTTCAAAACTCCCAAAGGTAAAGTCTTGATAGTATGACAACAGACTTTACAGCACTGTGGTGTGGGGGATAGAGGTTGTGATAAGGATGTCCAGTTTACTGATGGTGTGTTTTCCTCTGTGTCTCTGATGTGGGGGCATTTGTCAAAGCCTTAGGGAGTTCCTGCAGCTAATAAGGGGAGGTTGACACTAGAGCGTGTGCAGATGCAGAGTCCTCCCCACACTCAAAATTAACTGGAGTTGTTCCATTGTCAGATCTTGGTCTCTTTTAAGACTTCCATTTTTTTTTTCCCTTGGTAGTTAGCTCCCAAAACAACCCTGTTGAAACACTAGGAGCTAGAAAAGGGCCCCAAAGTCCCCATCTGCCATTTTCTCTTAAACAGTGAATACCCGCCAAGTCACCTTTTCATTTCAGCCATAGTTTTTTTGGCTTCCAAAAGAGATTTTAGAAATCAACATATTTAATTGGGAGTGCCCAAGAAACACTATGTGTGTTAGTAAAAACCTTACACAGCACTTCAACCACCAAAAGAAAATTGCATTTTGGGACTAAAAATAAGCCAAAGAGGACTTTAGCAACAATAGCACATGGGCAACAACTTCAAAACCTGTGGCAGCCTTTATCACCAGCCTGTCGAGATGAAACAAAATTAATGTTTCCCAACAGGGAGCAACAGTATTCATATCATTTGATGCTGCTTGTTAGTGTTGATGCTTTGGTACATGTTGTTTGGAATAACATATACAAGCCTGGAAACAAATTTCCCAGCAGTAGTAGCCTTGTATAGACTGAATAAAGGTTATTTTCTACAGGGAGGTATCTTATAAGAAAAAACAGTAGGGGAGACCATAGAAGTGAGAGGATCCTATGGTGCTTTTTGTATTTAACAACAATCAATGGGTTTTATGGAAAATCATTGAGCAAAATGTGAGCTGCAAGCTACTACCCCATACTGATGTTATTTATAACCTTAGTCTTAAACTGCAGGAAAAGTACACTTCCGTCCTTTGGGGAATACATTAAAAGTATAAAGAGCAGATAAAAAGACAGCATTTCATGGATCACCAAGAACAAAATCCACTTAAATGAGTTTAGAGTTGGTTTCTTGGCTTTTCCTGATGGAGGAGGACTCATAAGACATTGCCCAAGAGGAAAAAGCTCTTACTGAAGTGCCTTTGTTACCTCATGCATAAACATGGGATTAGTGCAACACACACATGCATGCGCGGGGTCCGCTTCTGGCGGCTTGACCCAGATCAACTCGAACACAACCAAGGCTGGCTTCTGTCATTTATGTATTTAATTTGGGGAGGGAGTGGGCTAGGTTAGGCCAAATTCGCACTATGCTTTTCTGAGCTATGTAAAGCAGCTGCTTCTTCCTAAAAATATGCTTTTAAAGTTGTGTCTGGTGAGACGAGTTAGAAAAATCCTTCATGGTCACAAGATGGTTCTTTTTTTTTTTTTAAGGTGTGTTTTCTTAGCAAATCTAGAGAGCCATTCCGAAGCAGAAATGGTGAGAGTATTACCACCATATGGGACTGGCAGCTTTACAGCATCAGTCCACAGACAGGAAACGGTGAATCTCAGCTGTGTAGGGTGGTGGGTCCTGAAGGAAGCCTCTGGCCCCGGGGAGGTGGGGGGAGGTGGTGGGGCGATGGGAGATGTATTTCCAATGAAACCACCTTGGAAGTTCTTTGTGAGTTGATGGGCATTATCAAGCCAGCCCCCTAAATCTGCTTTAGCAACTTCACTTCCATCAACATCACCAATCCCAACACATAGCTACCCCAAACTTCGTTCCCACACTCTGCCCTTCCAGCTTTGCCCACCCGAAGAAGAAAAGCTGAGCCGAGAGGACAAACGAGGCCCGGGCCGGCCGGGAGAGGTGAGGGCATGCGGGCGCGGGTTACCTGCAGATGGCCGACTGGCTGTACGCGGGGCCCTCTGTGGCACTGAGGGCCTGGCCCACCTGAGTCTGGGTCAGGCCGAGGGACAGGCGCCGGATTTTAAAAGCTTTGGCAAATTCTCGGATCTCCTCCAGATTAACCCCATCCACCTCACCCGCAGCCGTTTGAGGATCTGTGGAGATGTTTTTAAAAACAGGATCAATACATCAACGCACATCCGAGTACTGTGTGTTCATGACGGCTGATGAGAAAGTGGCTCGGTTTATAATAGCAGGGCGGTGGGGAAGCCACATGGCAGAAGGTTCTTTGTCTCCCTGGAGTGGAGCTCAAGCCCTATCCTCAACTCATTTCCACCTGCACCAATCATCCTTTGAGATAGCTCTGTCCCAGATGAAAACCACAGTGAGCCCACCCTGCCACTTCTACAAAACAAGAGTGAGTTCCTTAGAGCCTAGCAGATACTACCAGTGCTGGGGGTGGAGGAGGTGGTGGGGGCGGAGGGGCGGACACACCAGTTATTGAGGAGTGCAACTCCATTTTGCCCATAAATAAGTTCAGATATCATGCAAAAATAGAAAGATGAAAAATTTCTATTTGATATAGAAAATAACTGGACTGTTCAGTGCTAAAAATTGCCCTTGGAAAAAAAATAGTATTTTGTATTTCCCTTTTCCTGATTAACGCTGCAGCCAGGCTAACAGATGCTTAATTTCTTGTGTTCACATTAGCCCCTAAGAAGAGCATACTTATGAAGCTGTGGGAATAACACTGTCCCTCGCCCCTCCCCCGCTGCCCCATAGCAATTTACTGACACAGATGTCTTTGTCCCCTGAAAGGGCACATAATAAAAAATGCCCACCGCAGGAAGGCTCCTTTGGTGCCAGATAACGCAGTCAATTTAGGACTTATCAAGGGAAATGACACAACAGCTGGAGAATGAAGCTCTCCCCCGGACCCCCCCACTCCCAGCTACTGATCCCTGGATAAATGAAAGCGTACACCAAGCTGGAGACAGCATGAATTGGGGATGGTGGAAGATTTCAAAGTGCAGCTCCATTCTGCCTGGAGTGAAGCCATTCTCCCTGAAAGCTGACTCTATTGTTCTTCACCTCTCCCCTGGACTTAGGTGAAAAGTTTTTCTTTTCCTTTTTCTGCACAATCACCCACCAGTTTCAGTCCATTCCAGGACTTGTCTAAGGAACTGGGGTGGACTCTATCAGCCTTCTGGATTTAGGGTTATAGAAACTATTATTATCATGAAAAGAAACAAACATTTGTGCCCCCAGGGTCAATTTTTCCAGAACCTTGAAATAAAGATGTTAACATCTGTGAGGGGCTTGGAGCTGCCTGTATAGGTTCTCACGTTACAGGGCAAATGGAATCTGTCAGTAAAATCAGTCGTGAAGGTGTAGCACTGTACCTTATCTTCTCATTAAAAACAAAGTCCTGTAGAATTTTCACATGTCACTAAGCATGATTTCATGGAAGAAAGATGTGTGAAAAGTGGTATAATCACTGCCTTTAGTCTCTAAATATTTCTACTTTTTTCTTTATGCTTTGTTTGTTTGTTTTGATTTTGGGTATGCAGTTTGTAAGACCTTACTTCCCTGACCAGGGATTGAACCCTGGCCCACAGCAGTGAAAGTGTAGATAGAGTCCTAACCATTGAACTGCCAGGGAATTCCCTCTAAGTATTTTTTAAGTGACTCCTGGGAATCCTAATAAGTGGAGAGAAGGAGCCAGAGAAAGAGAAGAGGCAGGTCCAGCCTCTGTGGAGTTTGCTGTCTACAGGGGGTTGGGGTTCAGCATTATGAATGAGAAATAGAGGAAAATACCAGGTTGCCTAGAGTGAAGAACTAGTAGTGTGGCACCCACACCGAAATTTTAAGAGAAGGGAGAGGTGAGAGGAAAGAGGATTGATCTGGGTTTTACCCAGTGGGCAGCTTTCAGAGAATATTCTGGTCCATAGGAGCAGGGTGCAGACAGGCATGGGTGTGGGGAGGAGCCGAGCACCGTGGGGGCTGCAGGGAGCTTGGTAGGGGCAGGGAGAGCTTGTGCTGTGAGTGGTGAATATTTCAGTTTAGAATAAAGAGAATCTATGTCCGTGGACAGGGCAGAAGATGACTATAAAACTGACTGACTGTTGAGATTAATTATAATCCCACTTTTTCTCTCCCAACTGACCCAGAGGCCTGGCATCGCTTGGTTAATGAAGACTTGTTTAGGCTGTACCTGGTGAGGGCTGCCCTGTGGATCTTAATTCCCACCCGCAGTGCACCTGGAGCAGCTGGGAGGATTTGCTAAGGATTCTGGCAAGTCCCATCAATGTACATGGCAGTTTAGAACCTCTGCTGCGTTTCTTCCTTTAAAAATTCCTAGAACAGGAGTTGCAAATAAACATCTTGCAAAGAAAACTTAGCTTTTTGAGTGCGTACAATTTGGGGGAATTACTTGACAACATTAAAAACTGGGAGATTTCGAAAGAAAAATTTAGATTTGTCATTTTCTTCTTTGAAATGTTAGACGTGGTCCACGAGGTCCACGCTTACACTTGGGTACAGTCAGTCAGCTGGCTCTGCTTCAGGCTGCCCGTTCAGCTCCTCTGCATCCTTCCCTCCAGCTTTCCTCGGACCTTCTGCCTTGCTGAGCCAGTCTTGTGACCCTGCCTTTAGAGCATGCATTCCCAAGGGGGTGGAAGTTGGTTCTGAGGTGGCAGTGGGGAAGGTGGAAAAGTCTTAGGTAGCACAACTGTTGCACTCCTGCCAAGGGCTGAGGTATGTGAACAGAGCCAGTGTGTGGCACACCTGTGGTGGTAACATTTCACTGAAGAAGGGGGCCAGCTAGGACAGAAAAGTCTAAACGAGCTCCTTGTGGAGGGAGGAGGCAATAGTAAACTGACAGCCGAGAAGCCCTGGTGTAGAGCGGAGATGGACGCTTGGTACAGAACAGCACAGGGACACGGGGAGATGGGGCTTGGCCTCTTTCCAAGAGAGAAGGAAGAGGACCTGGTGGCTTTGCAAGTATGAGCAGTGGAGGTTCAAAGCTGAGGATGAAGAAATGGAAGCTGGACACTTTCCTGTAACAGCATGGCTTTAGGACAGTGGTTTCCTTTCTTTCTTTTTAAATTTATTTGGCTGGTCTGAGTCTTAGTTGTGGCATGTGGGATCTATGTCCCCGACAAGGGATCAAACCCGGGGCCTCCTGCATTGGGAGGGCAGAGTCTTAGCCACTGGATCACCAGGGAAGTCCCCAGGACAGTGGTTTTCTTAACTCAGGAGGTCTAGAAATCACCTGTTAAGACCTGGGACATGCATTTTTAACAGGTACCACAGGCGACTCTGATGCAGAGGACCTACTGACCCCAGGGTCAGAAGGTTTCTCTGTAGTTGTGGTCAGTCTGAGTCTGAATGTGGCATCCACTGCATGGCTCCACTCGACGCTTAACCATCATTATTCACCAGGTTCCACTTCACAGAGATCTCTACCACCTTGTAAAATGATGGGCCCCATCCTCGCCTCCACTCCCGGCTCCACCATTCATAGCAAGTGACAAATGTCTGGGAGTCAGTGGCCTGGGTGGCCAGTGGAGTCTGGAGTTAAGGGGAGAGTTTTTCTCTGATCAAAGCTAGGTAGGGAAGTAAATTTGTTGCCTTACATTAGCCCTATCTCTAGACCAACAGGAAGCAAGAGAGTTAATCTGGAAGGATTTCTGGCGTTGACCCTAGTCCCAGGGTCCACCTGAGCTGGCAGCGCAGTACCAGGTAGGTTTATGATTTCAGATGCAATTTTGTGCAAGATGATTCCAGCTTATGTCTCCCTTGCCTTTATTGTTTATCTCCTTACTAGTTCCCTGAGACCAGCCATGAAATCCATGTGTGTGATTGTGCAGGTTGCTCTTGACCAGATAGCTGAGAATAATCAGGGTTGAAAAGAAAGCTATGACCTATTACTTGCTTGCACTGATCAGTTGTGTGTATTATCTAAAAAGCTCAGAGAGGTGGGTGCCTGGCCCCCTGAGTCCACAGACTTCTGTGAGATCCCAAACAAACATTCATCAAATCTTCCTCGTCTCACCCATTTCACACTCTTGTCTTTTTCCTGGTTCTACTAAGAGAGCTGAAGATACCTACTAAGATATCTACTAAGATAGGAATTATGGTGAAATTGAAACAGGGTGATGGTCTATTGGACAAAAGCCCGGGGAGGGAAAATCAGTATTTCATTGTTTGTGCAATTTGTTGATTGCTGGAGATGAGCTGCTTGGCTTTCTTTATATTATTGTTCTCATCCATAAAAATCAGATGGCAAATGTATTATGATGGTTTCATTCCATGAATCCCAAGACCTGTGCAAGACAGTGTTTTGCATGGATGAATATTAGTTTTACTCTGATTGCAACATGTAGGACTTGTCTTCCCACATTGGGAGAATGCATTAGATGGTGTCCATAACATGTTTTGAATTAATAAAAAAACTAATGCATTTTTTTTTTTTTTGGTTCCAAAGTTTCTGTCTTAAGTGCTTGAGGTTTTCTCTCCACTGTTGGACTGTTGGACAGTTCCCCTTCATTAATGGTTATATGCTTTTCTGTTTGAAGAGAGGAAATGAGAGATAAATGGTGAATGGTAAACGGAAGCTTCCCTAGAAGGTCACTGTAGCTCTCAATCTGGCCCAGAGGTTGACAGTACACCCTGGGATCAGGCAGTCTGGCTTTCCTTTCTCCATTGTGTCATTCCTTCTCTTGGCTCTGCAGAGGTTGGGTTAATTCCAAGGATGAATCTCAGGCCTCCTTGATGGGGACTTCAGAGGGAACCCTCAGGTCCCCCCAGAAGTGAACCCAGAACCTTGAATCCAGCTCCAGGGAAACCCAGCTTGATATTTCTCTGCATTGGGAAGGAGGTGCAAATGCATCTCTTATAGAAGTTTGCTCCAGATTAAGTTGGCCCAATACATTGGATTGGCCAGAAAGTTCAGGTTTTTTGTAACATCTTAGTGGAAAAACCTGAATGAACTTTTTGGCCTACTCAGTGTTAAATAGAGTCAGAAAGAAAAGACTTCCAGGCTTCGCCCTGAATCTGAGCCTTGCTAAAGGAGCCAGAAGATCAGTCTATGTAGGGGTTGGCTCATCTGGAGACTTATATTACACTGGCATTGAATGTTGGCAGCAACCCTTAAGTATAATGATGATATTTCCCAAATCTGGAAAGTATGGGCTGAATAATAAAAGATTTTCATGGGAGCTAAATGCGAAGTGTGTGAAAACAAACGTGTTCTGTAGAATCGGATTGCTTGGTCACTGAGACCATACTGAACTGAGCGCTCAGGGTGGGCCAGTACTGTTATTTTGTTTAATTTTCAAAATTTACCTCCTTCCAACTGTTCCCCTGGACATCAGTATAAGGGGTTGCTAAAAGGGTCCAACAGTTTCATTCCACCCACACGCCCCTTCTACACTCTCTGCTTATGGGATTGTTACAGAAGAAACACATATCTAATATAAAGAAGGTGCCAAGTCTGAATTCACTGTCTTCTAAATATCCATCTGCTTTTTAGTGCTACTCTCACAGCAAAAAATGGGCATATTTACCAAATATTTCTGAGACATAAGAAACCATTTGGGAATGTGCAATGTAATTTGGGAGAACAGCCTGCTTACAATGTGGTGACTTTATTGAGCTGTAGAAAATGGTGTGAAATTGATCAAGTGAATCGGGGGCCCCACTGTGCTGTAGCTATCACCAGGCATCTTTTTTCTTTCTTTTTTTTTTCAGTTTGTTAGTTGTTTGGGATCCTTAAGCATGCAAACTTCAAAGAGGCGAGTCTACAAAGGAACCAGAGTTGTTTTATGGCATCCAGTACTACCATATTGCTACTTCTGTGTAGCAGGAAAAGTTCGTTTTCAAAGCAGATACAGTTCAGTCTTCAGTGTGAATGGTATGAATGACAGTCTTTTTTTGTGTTGTTGTTTTTAAAAAATTTCTTAGCACCAGGCATCTTTAGGTTCACTTTATGTTTGTTTGTTTGTTTGTTTTTTTTGATATTAGCTCTCAGTCCTTTTGCTGTCTGAGAATTGAGCTTACAGGCCAAACCAAACCCAGAAAAGCCTGGGTTTTTTTTTGTCCTGAAAAGCCAAACCAACCCCAGAAAAGAACACAAAAGTCCCATGTCTACTTGTTTTTGAAAAGCACTGTGTAAATCTTAAGTCAGTTTGGGACTTTGTCATCTGTTTGACTCTTCTAGACTTTCCAAAAGCTCTGCTTATGGAACCTGTAGCTACCCCTGGTGGTTGCGGAGACAGGGCAAGGTTTGACACAGGGCAGGCTGTGTAGTGCTGTGAACAAGAATGCAGATGTTTTAAGGAGTGTGCATCCCTGGGTTGGGAAGATCCTCTGGAGGAGGGCATGGCAACCCACTCCAGGATTCTTGCCTAGAGAATGCCATAGACAGAGGAGCGTGGCAGACTACAGTCCATAGGTTTAGAGAGTTGGACAAAACTGAAGCAACTTAACACGCGCATTTCTGTTCAACCTTATTCTGCACATAATAGATGGAGGGTGCGTGTTAAGTTGCTTCAGTCATGTCTAACTCCTGCGACCCTATGGACTATAGCTTGCCACACTCCTCTGTCCATAGGATTCTCTAGGCAAGAATACTGGAGTGGGTTGCCATGCTCTCCTCTGGGGCATCTTCCCAGCCCAGGGATCGAACCCGAGTCTCCTGTGTCTCCTGCATTGGCAGGTGGGTTCTTTACTACTAGGGCAACTTGGGAAGCCTGGCATGCATGCATGCTTGGTATTAACTCTGTATTTTTTTGCCTGGAGTAGGCAGGTTATGGATGCCCCACCCATTCCCATTCATTTGAAGCAATGGCAGGTTGCCCAGCAGCAGGCTGCTTTGACCATAACTTAGGAAGGTTAACTAACCAAGGTTTTGACCGTAGCTTCAAATCCAGTTTGACCTGGTTCAAACTATGGCTTTGGCTTAGTGGAGGGATTTGTTGATCCATTCATCCTCCAACTTAATTGAAGGATTATTTACTTCAGATGTCCTGTTCTGTTTCAGTCTCCAAAACTGAGATCCCTATCTACTGTACTATCTACTGTACTGCCATAGACCTTATTCATGTTGACCATAGCATTTATTTCCTTTTGTTGTAACTGTATTTCTTTGCTATCAGTTCATGACCTTCCCCCCTAGAGCAGGGACCACATCTTGCTTATTTTTTCTTTCTTCGTTTCTATTCCTGTGCTCACATATATGTGGTGCTCAAAAAGTAAGTTGTTGTTTTTTTTTTCCACATTAAAAATTTTTAAGTTGACATCCTCTGACTAAAACACGTTTTCCCTCCTATAATTTAACCCGTATATAACAATTACATCTGAAATATAAGGTTGGGTCTCCCCACATTAGCCTATCTGCAAAGTTGGCAAGTTTAATTTTAGACAAAAGTAATTTTAAATGCATATAGAATGCTTGAATATACATTTCAAAATATGGAAGTTGTCTAGGTTTCTCTTCATATTGGCTCAGAGAAAAATCCTGTGCTTTAATTATAAGATATGGGTTCAGGCATTTAACAATTACTTGAAGAATATTTAGGTGATTTGATGTATTTTATCATTCAAATTGCACTGGGTAAAATTTATATGAAAGCGTCTTGTATTTTTGAGGCAGCAGTGGTGTGTAGACTGTGTATGACCCACTGAATCTGACGGCCTGGGTTATCATCTTGGCTTTGTCACCCAGAGATTTGTCATAGAGTGTCAAGGTCTCTCAACTAAGACTGAATGTGGCCTCTCTGACATAAGATGGGTTGTATTTTGCAGGATCTATTTGCTGCCAGCATCAGTGTCTGAAAATGATAATTTATATTACTTTCTGTGAGTATTCAAATAGGTAAAATATTGAAAGTGCTTTGAAAACTCTACAAGTGAAGTCGTTTTTGCTGTTGTTGTTGCCAAACCACACAGCAAGTGGGGTCTTAGTTCCCTGACCAGGGGTTAAACCTGTACCCCTTGCAGTGGAAGCATGGAATCTAAACCATGGCCATGGAAGTCCACAAATGAAATCTTAAGCAGAAGTTTGCTGGGGAATAATCAGTGTCAGAAGATGTTCCATGTATTTTTCATTCTATATTGGGTTTATGCTCAAAATGCTTAACATGCTCAAAATCTGTAGCAGTCGTAAGCCCAGCAATGGGTTTGTGTAAAGTCCAAACCCTGGTAGGTATAGTCCTGGACCTTCTCATACCTCCCAGAGAAGGTACCTCATTCAGGCTTTGCATATGAGTTTGGAGCTTCTTGCCTCAAACGCCTGTGGTAAAGGAGTCTCTTTTCCCCAGTTTTTAATATTTCCTCTCAAGGACATGGACTATGGTTCACTCATTATACTCATAGAATGTCCCACTGGCCTCTGTGTAAATGAAATTTCATTTGGTCCATTAAGTAGCTCTGTAACTGATTTCTGAAAAAGGCTAATCCTTCTCTGTGCAGCTAGAGACAAAAGGCAAGACAGAACCGAGTGCCATCCATACATATATGCATGCGTATGGATATATGTACATGTATATTTTTTGGGGGGCTTGCTTGTGTGTGTGAGGGAGACACGGCAACCCTCCATTTTGCCTTGCATCTCTAGACTTGGCCCATGATATGGAGAATCTCTACTATTCCTGTTTTAACAGGTCACTCATGACCCTTGACCAAACACAGATACTCACATAAGTCCTTGTGTGGTGCCGCAGATGCCTCTGCGGTGCTGTAGCCCTTTAAACCTGGAGCTGTTGGGTTTTTGGTGCCTGGAGAATTATAATACATGCACTATTCTGTGATTTTATATACAGGTAAAAAATGTACTAAATGTGAACAACTAACATTAAATTAGATCATTGTCACATTCATCTCAACATGTTTCTATTTGCATCTGATATATATGCTGTCTTCCCCTAGGGCCACTTACCATTTCTAAAATACGTCTACATGGCCTGCTCAGGGAAGCAGATCTGCAGGCTCACGTTATTTTATGAATGGTTGTTCAGAGGTTTCTCATCAGATTCCAGCCCATGCAGCTTCCCCCTTGCGCCACTGGGGGCAGCTCGTGGTGCACACACCACCCGCCCATAGGCACACTCTCTTTTATTTCTTCTGACACCTACAAATAGAATGGCAGGGACTTCAAACACACAGAAAAGCAGCTTGACCTGCCGGCTGAGTGCCTGTTGTTGGTTATTTCAGTTCTGAGCTATGTGGCTCATGCCCTGAAAGCTGATCAGTTTCTTGCTTCTGAAGTGGCCAGACTGACTCAGCGCCATCAGAAGGCATCTTGGGGTGGAAACAGCCCCTCCATGCATTCATTGATGGGGTGTGGAGGTGTCTGCTTCCCCAGTGAACCATTGGCCCTGGGCATGGACCTCATCCCAATATTGACCTAGCAGTACCAGGAAACTTCTCTTCTGTTTGAAAGATCAGAGGGAGAAGGAGGGAGGAAGGGATAGGAGGGATGAGAGAGAAAGGCATTGCAATTAGGCAACAAGAAGGCCACCATGATTTAACCGAGCCAGAAAGGATACTTACTGCTGACTAACTGGCCCACGCTCAAAGCTGAAGAAGAGGAGGATGAAGAGGAAGAGGAGGAAGCCTGCCGGACGGGGCTTTGAGACATGGATGCTTGGCTGTGAGCCAGGTGCAGGAGACTGCTTTGGGAGGCTGCTTGACCCACTGACGTCTGGGAGGGTTGGTGGAGCTACGCAGAGGGATGTAAAAAAATACACAAAGGCATGAAAAATTAGGAGGAAAATGCCAGGGAATAGAAGTGTTATCAGGGCTGAATCATTTTATTTCTAAGAATATATACTTCTCTGAAATAATGCACTCCCTGCACAACAGGCTGGGTTTTGTTTTCTTTCTTTCTTTTTTTTTTGTATATATTGTGTGGCTGCTGCGTCGACAGGCATTTTATTAGTATTTCTAAATATATTAATTCCCTACTTGGATTGCTGAAGCATCTAGTTTTCTACATTTCTTGACCACCACATGTGATTGGACTCTTTCTGCCTGTTCACGTGATTCTAGGGTGCTTGACAGGCTTCTCGAGTACGTATAGATAAAATATAACACCTTCCATCAACTTAGACCGCAAGACTCAAGATCTCAAGAGTGGGTTGTGCCCAATCATTTTGTCTTATGTAACTGGTGTTTTTAGGAAAGTTCCAATTTAGGCTGAGTGTGTATGGGCACTTCCTGCTCTCTCAAACCAGAGTCTGGGTGTATTACTGTGGAGCTGGAAAAAAAATTTTTAAGATCCTATCGAGATTAAGAGAGAAATGGGGGCAGTCAGGACAAATGTATCGATTGATATTTGTCCCTCTTAGTTGTCACTTTCTTACACTGTGCCAGCACTTTGTTTGGCGCTTTCATGCCCTCTCATTTAAAACTCTGACATCAGCCTGTGGAGTGGGTATTATTCTGACCCCTCTTTTACACCAGGAAAGCTGAGGCACAGAGAGTTTAAAGGATTGGGCTTCTTCCTTTGGCAGGTGTGGAGGAGTTGGTCTCCAGACCTAGGAAGTCTGATCCCCGGGCTTGAGCTCCTAGCCACAGTGCCACAGTCAGAATTCACTTCAAGTCTTGTGTGCCATAAAGAAGGTGGTCCTTGTAGTCATGACTTCTTTCCAGGTTATCCAAGTGCTATTGTTCTGGGAGATGAGAACCTCGACTGAAGGGAGGAGGGAGAGAGAAAAGGAGGACAGTCACAGGTTTTGGGTCCACCTGGACACTTGGGAGGGGTCTCTGTCCCTCCGTGTGTTGACCCTCTAGGAAGCTGGCTCGATGACGGCCCTAGGCCTGGCACAAGGGCACCAGTAGCCTCAGCGGTGGCCACCTTTGTTGATTAGACAGAGATTAGACAGAGTACTTTTCAGAGTGCTTTCATGTCCATCATCACAGGTCCCAGAGGTGTAGGAAGGTTTTCAAAAAAGGTTTTTAATAAAAGGAAGTCAGGCTGGGAGTGGAATCAGGCCAGACCCTGAACTTTGGTGAAAAGAGAGCCAATTACAAAACAGGCACTGATCTTTGACCACCTCCTCAGGATCTAAGAGTCAGCCTCGAGAGTTCAACTTCACATTTGTCTATGCTTTCCCAGTGCGTGTGTGTGTGTTCATTTTTTTAAATTCAACTTTATCAAGATATAATTTACACATAATAAAATATATACATTTTATGCATACAGTGTGATGAATTTTGTCAAATGTATACATCTGTGAAACCACCACATTATCAAGATATAGAACCTTCTTATCATTCTATAAAGTTCCCTAATTGCCTTTGTAGTCAATTTTCCAACTCCTGGGTTCAGACAGGGACTTTGCTGCTTTCTGCCACATGTACCCATTTGGCATAATTCTAAAACTGGAATTGTATGGTATGTAGTCTTTCTGCATTTGACTTCTTTTGCTCAGATACTGTTTTTGAGATTTACCCAGTTTTGTTGGATATATCAGTAAATAATTTTTTAATTGCTGAGAAATATGTATAGTATTGTTATATATCTGTATGCATATCTATGTCAAAGATTGCCCATGCATTTATCTGTTGATGGACATTTGGGTTATTTCCGGTGTGGGGCTATGATGAAGAAAGCTGTTATAAACACTTATGGACAAATCTTTGTGTATCCCTGTGTTTTCATTTCTTATATGTAAATACCTAGGAATGGAACTGTGGAAATGACTGAGTCATACCTTAAGTGCACATTTACCTTTTAAAGAAACTACCAGACTGATTTCCAAAGTGGTTGGAGCCTTTGATATGCTCACCAGCTATTATAAGAATTCCAGTTGCTGTGTAGCATCACCAACACCTGTGATTGACAGTCTTTAATTCCCTAAAGTGTTTTTAACCATCAATTAACATTCTACTTTCAAAAGTTGTTAATCATGTGCTACTTTGGAAATGTGTTTAGGGACCTATTTCCCTTCCCATCCCACCCTCACCCCCCGACCCCATGGTAATGCTTTTGCTCTCCAGATTCACAGGCTAGCTCTAGGCAGCAGATATAGCTGGCACGATTATGGGAAGTAAGTGACTCTCCCAAGACCATAAGTCTGCCTTAGAATCCGGGCTCTCGCCCCATAGTTCAGGGCTCTTTCCAGGATGCCAGGCTGTCCTGTTCCACAATTTCCTGCAATTACATCTCAAAGGAACACCCTCATTGTTACTCCACTGTGCTAAGATTGTGAAGTAAGGTAGTTGTAATTGACATGGAATTCAAATTAATATGCAACAAGCATCTGCCTAAAGTAATTAGCCAATCTGCTGAGCACATAATCAACAATCGAATCCAGTAAATTTTATTCTGTAGGAACACACACTGAAGATTAAATCTATTTTTAATTTGCTTAATAAAATGTGATGGATATTTGCATGTCAGTCTACCCCCTCTAACCTATTGAGTTGTCCTTCTAAATATTGTTACTTGACAAAAGCTTTGCACAGTTTTGAGTTATTGAATCATGAGCTACTCTTTGGTTTTACCATTTCATCAATATTTTATTGGCCCTGGGCGTGGCAAAGTACCATCAAGGAACTGGATAAGACAATAATCAATTTAAATTTCTTTTTCTCAGACACAACTCAGTAAAGAAAAATTACTAGGCTTCAGTCTCACTTAGAAGTCTACACAAGAGAAGGAATTCTAGAGGAAAACAAAATAGCTCTATTGAGAGTTTGTTCTACATCTACACAGTCAAAGAAAGAGATGAATCTAAGATAACTAAGAATCTAGGAAAGATGTATTTTGTCCAAAGGAAATAAGCACTTCTTTCAGAACACGGGCCCTACTTACCTTCCAGCATTCAACCAAACAGTTCAGAATAACCCATAAAAATTCTAAAAGATTCTTAGTTGAAAAGAATCAAGATTTTAAGGTTATGGCATTTCTAGAAAATTAATACAGGCATGGAAAATCCACCAAAAAGGAGGAAAAGGAAGGGGCAGTTCATGTTAGCTTGGGGCTTTGCTTCATCCAGGGATGAACATCCTGGGGATGTTCATCTCACACAGGGGATGAGAGACAGGCAGAAATAGGATTCAGAGTCCATTAAGCTTTACGCTTCTCACTGCATCTCATAGGCTGGCTTTGCTGGTTAGTTTGTGTTGGTTGGCACTGCTGATATTTACTGTATTCAACAAAAATAGATATAAGCACACTTTGAAGACTTTCTGGATTTTCTGTGCCAGTGTCCTCATCTGTCTTCCTTGTGTAACACAGTATATCCTTAACAATATTTTAGTTTCTGGAATAAAGCATCTTCTAATTAAATTCACGATTGATATAAGAATAAGTGGAGGTGACAAGCATATTGGAAAATGGGATAAAATGAAGAACCAGAATGTGATAGATGAATTGGAAAAAGTTAATTTCTATAAAACAGTAACATTCAAATGGGATTAAATATAGAGAAATTCATGTGGGTGGGGGGAGACGAAACTTTCCAAACATGTAAAGGCAAAGTGGCTGCAGAAGAAATGAAATCAGTGGTTCCCAAGATTTAAGTGCTTTCAGAACCACCTGGAGGGCTGTTAGAAAACAGATCCCCGGACCTTACCCCCACAGTGTCTGGTGCAGTAGGTCCAGGTGGGAGTCAAGAATTTGCATTTCTAACAGGTTCCCAAGTGAGGCTAAGGCTGCTGGTTGAGGGACCACTTAAGGTTCTGGAAGGATCTTGTCTTAGAAAAAGGGTAAAGAAAGTAGATTTATTGCGTCTAGACAAGAGAAGCCAGAGCCTAGATTTAGTAAGAGCTTTTAATAATTAGGAGGACATAAAGAATACCTGAATGGTATCGAGGAGTTCATTCAACACTGGACATGGCCAACTGTGCAGGTGTTAAATTTGTTGGAAGATTCAGGGTTGAGCTCAGGACAACGTAACTTGAAAAATTTTGAGTACTAAAATTTTGAAAAATTCTGATAGCTAAAAACTCCCCTGGGTATCATATCTAGAACATGATAGAACTCTGCATCTTAGTGCAGAGGAAGGGGTTAACAGAGAAAGAAAGAGAATTAGGGAAGAGAGTGCTGTTTGGAAGTTCTCCCCAAGCTACCGGCAGGTGCTGGTTTGGAACCTACTGGAAAATGGCAGAAGACACAGAATCGGAAAGCCATGGAAGGGCCTGGCCTGGGCTCTTCCGGGAGCATGACTCTGGAACCTCGTGTCTCCGATAGGGAAACACTACCATTTGGCAGCAGTTAAACACGACGGATGGAGCACGCAGCATAGGCTGGGTCCTGAGCAAGGCTGAATCAGTCTGGTCCCCGCCTTTCAGGTTAGACAGTACAGACTGAAGACAGTGAATGCAGCGAGGGGAAAACCGAGGTGAGAGGATGATAAAGGTGAGCTTCACAAAGGAGGGATCCTGGGCAGGCGGATGGTGGTGGGAGTTTGCCAGACAGAAGAGGTAGGAAAGGCATTCCAGGCTAGGGTGGGCAGGGAGCACGTGCTCTGTCAGCTGAGCTCGACTGGCCGAGACCAGGGGAGACCAGAGAGGTGAGGTGCTCAGATGTGTGGCTGGAAGGTCAAAGGTCTGTTTCGTATTGGGGTACCTGACACACATTTCCTTTCTCTAGGAAACCCTTATGACTATTTTAGATCCTGTATGGGTGGAAATACTTCATTTGTGTCTCATTCTGGATGGCTCCAAGAAAAAACTGGAAACTACTGATTTAGGTAACGGCTGGGAAAAAACTAGTGACTATATTTTTTTACTTGAAGAAAAAAACCCAAAACAGATGGATTTAGAGAATCATATAGCATTTTAGGGGCTTCCCCGTGGTGCTAGTAGTAAAGAACCCACCTGCCAGTGCAGGAGATGTAAGAGAAGTGGGTTTGATCCCTGAGTCAAGATGATCTCCTGGAGGAGGGCATGGCAACCCACTCCAGTGTTCTTGCCTGGAGAATCCCTCAGACAGAAGAGCCTGGTGGGCCACAGACCATAGGGTTGCAAAGAGTTGGTCATAACTGAAGCAACTTAGCATGCACGGCATTTCAGAGAGCTAGTTTAAATAAACCATTTCCCTTTGGCTTCCTATTAGCACCGAGATTACATTTTGAAGAACAATTGAGTGCTTTCATGGATGGCAGTCTCCAAGTATTACAGCCATGGTATTTAATTTTTGAAAAAGTTCAATGCTTTGATTTTACAAATCACATTTTCCCTTTCCTGTGTCTCTATTTTCTTAATGACATTAAAAATCTCCCATAAACTTTTGTTGGGATTTAGTCAGAGGAAGAATAAATATACACAACATGATTTCTGTGCTGCTTATGAAGAAATCATGAATTCACAATCACAGAACAATAAGGGCAAACCCTGGCATGTGGGTCAGTCTGACTTTGGAGCTGCAGAATATCATGGAGGAAAGGAAAGGTTACTTTCAAGTTCTACCAAATATTTTTGTATTAGGTTCTTTGTTTCATGCACAGAAAGATACTTCTCTCTCTCTCATATTTTTTTTTGTGTGTGTGCAGCATGTGAGATCTTACTTCCCTGACCAGGGATCAAACACATCCCCTGCACGGGAGCACAGAGTCTCAACCACTGGACCACCAGAGAAGTCAAGTCCCCTCTCTTTCTTATCTAGTCATTTTCTGACTTTTATTTCTTTGCATTGCTCACCAAGGACTCCTGACTTGATACTGTGGAAGTGATATCTAGGACTATCAGATACTGGTATATGTTTTTTTTTTTTAAATACTGTTTGTATTTCAGATGATAACTTTGCAGGTTCTCAATCTTTCATCATTGGTATAAAGCATCCTCAAAAGTAGTTGACTCTTCACTCTTCGATTTTATCCAGGTTCTTTTAACTAGTGGTAGACATGTGTAAAAATTAAGATTTTTAAATTATTTTTATTAGATTAAAACGAATCACCCCAGGTCATCTAGCCCACGAGGCCTGTACTTCACTCCATAAAAAGTGGACTTCCTTTTGAGTGCGAATTAGGGACTTCTCTGCTCTTGTAATTTATGACATATTTTACTGTTGGAACTATGCTCTGGTGAGATCAAGCATTTGTCATAAATCACATAAAAAAATAAATTGAGAAACTTCTCTATTGTACAAGAGAAATCCTTTATTTTTTAGTAGTTGTCCATATTATATTTCTTCAATGTAAAGGGTAATATTTAAAGAAAAAATTGAAGATCACTATTCTTATATATATCTCTAGGTCTGAGCTTTTTACTTTTGGACTCTCAGCATTTTATGACCCTCTATCCTCAGAATTCCCCCTTTTATATCTGGGGCTCAGACTCGAGGATTTCCTCTTAATTCACCCAACATGTTAACTTTACTACACCTTCCAAGGTGTTTCAATCAGAGCTGATGCCAAGAAACAGTATGACGCTCTTCTCCTGATATTTCTCACCACGTCCGTCATCAGTTCCCTTGACCTTTCTAGGACTTGAGTAGACCACTGGCACGTGCCTTGAACAACAGGACAGGCCCAAGGGTGCCTGCTGTGACTTGAGGATTCAGGAAGGTTTGAGTGTCACTCTTTTCAGTTGTGCACACATATGCTCTCAGCATGCACTTGTATGAGAGATGCATGCACATAAACTGGCAAGGCAAGTCCTGCCCTCTGTGAAGCTGGTTGTAAATGACATGAGTTGGATGGGCATGGCACATCCCCTAGAGGCTGGCTGTTTCTTCCCAGTTGCTAGATCTCCAGTTCTACCAACAGGGTTGATGGCAGTGGTTAGATTAGCAGAGGACCAGACATTCCCACTGTGATAATGAGGTTTCATTCCAAGGGTCAACAGGTAGGGTGTGAGCAAGATTCTGAGGTGCATCTATGCTCACGAGAGAGACGGTGTAAACGGATTCATGCTGTCAATAGTGGGCGGGGGTTTGAGGAGCAGCACCATACCTCCCTCTTACTTGCCGTTTCTTAGTTAGGTCCTTCTGGATCAAAACTGTACTACCTCAAATATAGAGCTGTCATCCTGTATAATGGCAGTGGTCTATCACCCACACACCCTACTTAGAAATGCAAAGTGAGAGTGAGAGCTACTTGTATTAAATGTTGATGATCTCTAATTAATTCATCACCTTCTTGGCAATTTACAACTTGGGTTTGCTGACAGAAATAGTTTTTTAGCAGATTGTATGAAAAGATTAATTTTCTCATTTCTGCACCCAGAGATAATTTTGAACATAGGTTTGAACAGATAGAACTAGGGATTAAAAAGCCAATGAAACATTTGGGGGAACTATTTATTCATTTTTTTGGCCACAGTGTGTGTGGCATGTGAGATCTTAGTTCCCTGAACAGGGATGGAACCCGGGCCTCCTGCAGTGGGAGCTCACAGTCTTAACCACTGGGCCAGCAGGGACCGGTCCAATTCCCTTGGGGGAACTATTTAGAAGGTTAGAGAATATAGTGGAATCCTGTAAGTAGCAAAAGAAAGAAAATAGCTGAGATACAGGGGCAGAGGGAGGGGGTAGAAGTCCTCATGATACGTTTGTCAGGGACTGCCCCACTGCCTGTGAGAAAGCTGGGGAAGAAGAGGGTGGTGGGAACCCTGGCTCACAGGCAGTGGTTTCGATTTAGAGGGAGAACCAGCGGGAGTAAGAGAGGCCCCCCAACTGCTATGTGAGGGAGATACTGACGTTTCCCCATTTTACAGATGAGAAAATTGAGGCACAAAGATGAGGAATGCCTCAAGATCACACTGGGACAAAGCCACCCTTTTCAGTTTGAATATGAGTCCCCTTCCATGACTGTTCTCAGACTCGCTCTACGTTTCAGTCACATGAACCTTTTCCCTGTGTTTAGCACTCCAGGCTTCTTCATGTGTCCCTGCCTCTGTGCCTGCCGTCCCCACTGCCTGGAATGTTGTTGACCCATCATTCACCTGGCTGACTCCAACCCATCCATTAAGACTCACTTCCAAACCATGTGAGGACTCAACACTCTCTGGACAAAGCCAGTCACTTCCATCTTTGTGCTGATACTAAACTTTGTGCATACCTGTCCTGTTACAGGACATGCTGTCTTATTTATTTATTAAAAGTGTTTTTTGGCCATGTCACTGGATCTTAGTTTCCCGCCCACTCCCCGCTGCCCCGTCCCCCTCCTCTTCCCGCAGTGGAAGTGCTCACGTGGTTTGGAAGTGAGTCTTGATGGATGGGTTGGAGTCAGTCAGGTGAATGATGGGTCAACAACATTTGTAACCACTGGACCAGCAGGGAAGTCCCAGGACATTCTGTTTTACTGCATAGTGGGGCTGTGCTCATACATCTGTGTCCTCTATAAGACTATGAGCTCCTTAAGACAAGAAATTGTCACTCTTTCACCCCTGTTTCTTATCATTAAGCAGGGGCCCAGTGTATAGTGGGTTATCAAGAAAGGTTTTTTTTTCTTTTTTTTTCCATTGGGTGGAGAGGGAGGTGGGAGGGGGGATCATGAAAGGTTTGTTGAAGAAAACAATTAACCAGAAACTCCATGAGGTCAGGGACCATGTTCTTCTTCAGGGCTGTGTACCCAGCTTCTAGTATAACACACAGAAAGTGCTTGATTGATATTTGAATGGATAAAACATACTGGATTCTTATGGTTTTAATGAAGTTCTACCAAATAGAACCTCCTATTTTTCATTCCCTAATTTCTAGGAAGCACTTTCAGCAGCATCAATTTGGGATCTCTTAATGTGTAATACTTCTTCCCCCATTTATAGATAAGACGTTAACTGGTCTTAGTTTCTTCTTGACCTCTTTTAAAGTGGACTGAAAGTTAAGTATCACAAGCTGTGATAAATAAGAACACATATCTATTGAACTTTAGGCAATTGTCCCTGTTATAACCAAATATATTCTTGTTTATAGATTAGCAATTATTTAGTTGTCACTCATATTCACTAAGAATGAAAAATAAAGCTACTTGCTTTTTAAAAAAAAATAAGTATCGATATGTTAGGATTAATGAGATTAAATATTTTCTAATTTAAAAATTACTTTTCATTGATTGAGCCCAATTAGAAGAAGGATGGTAAGGAGAGGTATTCAGGTAGCCAGGACTGTCTGGACAAGAAGCCTTTACCTGCTGGCCAGGCTTGATGGGGGAGAGCGTGATGCCCTGCGTGTTGATCACAGGCAGGATCTGGTTCCCGATGACTGTGGCAATGATCTGGCCCTGGGCGTTCGTCAGGAGCTGGGGGGTGATCGGCTGCACTTGAAGGCCCTGAGTGCCGCTCGCTGTTTGGCTTGAGGGCCCTGGATTCGGCATCAGAGGAATGGTCCCAATAATCTGCAAGAAACAGGCCCACAGGTGAGGCTCCAGGCTCTGCTCAGAGTTGGCACAGGCGCCTGAACCTCTCTGGTGCTCTGGTCTCTGTTGGAGGCTCCCTGAGAGCCGACTCAGAATCCTCGGGCCAATCTGGAGAAGAAAGAAAGTGGCAAAGGATGAGCACGTGAAGGAGAGAGAAACCCACGTGGACCGTGTGCCTGGATGGAAGAGGAAAGCATCTTATTTAAAACTGAAATCATGGATTAACAGATACACCCTACGACATACAAAATAGATAACCAACAAGGACCTACTGTATAGCAAAGGGAACTCTACTCCATACTCTCTAACAACCTATACTCCAATATTAAAAAAAAGAAAGGAAACTCAGGCATCAGTGAGGACAGAAGCATGTGACTTCTGCCAGGGCAGCAGACTCCCCTGTTCTGTCCCAGAAGCAGACGGAGCATCAGCAACTCACGCATGGAGGCCCTCGTCTGGCTGGGGAGCTGGGCTCCTTCTCCACATGGCTCCTCACACACACGGTGCTTCCTTGTACCCTCTCCTCTGCTCGGGTCTCCCCTGCCCTCGCCAGTCCCCTGCCCTTCCCCGCCCTCCTGCTCCTCTCTCAGGTCGGGGGTCAGCCCTCTGACATCCCGGCATGACTGGATACCCCAGCAGCACCCCAGTGATCATGGTGGTGGAGAGCCCGGGTTCTGGAGTCCGGGACACACAAGTCCATTCCCAGATGTGCCGCCTCCCCTACAACATCGTCAAGGAGCCTATGCTTTCTGAGGGAGAACTGGGATCATTAATCGATATTTGAAACTCAGATGTGAAATGACGACTGAGGACTGAACATTTTTAAAAGGGCATTTTTTTTTTTTTGATGTGGACCATTTTAAAAGTCTTTACTGAATTTGTTACAATATTGCTTCTGTTTTAGGTTTTGTTTTGGCCACAAGGCATGTGGGATTGTAGCTCCCTGACAAGGGATTGAAATAGTAGCCCCTGCACTGGAAGTCAAATTCCTAACCACTGGACTGCCAGGGAAGTCTCTGAAAGTGCATTTTAAAACATGGGTTTTAAACTGGGCCCTAAAAGTGAGAGGATCAAGGCTTCTGTGGCAGGTGGGGGAGGCTTTTCTCTATATCTGGTAGCCTCTGGTGTCAGTAAAGAGCTCATGCAGAGCATCACAGGAGGGCCTGGCTGGATCCAGTCACCGTGGTGGGAGAAAGGGAGAAAGTGTTCATAAGATCTGGAAACACAGACACATTTCATAAGTTGACAGGGACAAATCTAATTGGTGAGAAAAGAAAATACAACTCTGTTTTCCAATGTCATGGACTCTCCCAGGGAAAGTCATGGAATTCAGGTTGGATGCTCTCTCCTCCAGGTACCCCAGGATGGTCACGCAGCTCTGCTCTGCTGGTTGTCTTCCAGGGACACTTCCCAGACGTGAACTGTGGGATCGTGGCCTCAGGGGGCCACCCCGACATATTAACAATACTATCTCAGGAAGTGCTTTCAGGGGTCTGGTTTTCATTCATTCCACATTCTCACAGCAGCTCAGTCCTGTGGGCACTAGTCTCACCCCTTTTTAGCAGGTAAGACAGTGGGGGTTCAGGGAGGAGTTTGCAAGTGGCAGAGCTGGGGCCCAGGCCTGCAGGACCCTCAAATGCTCACTTTTCCATATATCCCCTGGCTGCCACCAACAGGGAGGACATAGGGGGGCACCTGCTCTTAGGAAAAGCCCTGCATCCTGTTTGCAGTTTCCCACCAGATGCTTAGCTGCTTGTAGACTAAGTTTATAAATGATTCCATTTTCTGTGCCCACATTCCCGCTGGTAGGGCTTGGGACATAGTTTCTCAATAACTATCTTAGTAAGGAATGGTTTCTGGGCTCAGCTGTCTCTTGGATTCCAGACAGAGCTGGCACCGCAGAAGACCTGCAAGACCACAGGATTCAGTCCAAAGATCAGGATTGAGAGACATCCCTCCTCACTCGGCAAGCCGTGCTTCCACCACAGAAGCTCCTGTGGGTTGGCGCTAATGGAGGAGCTGTGCGAATATCAGGTATCCATGGCAGTTGTCAATTGTAGACGATCAAGGTCAAGTCGTTATCGAGAGAGTGGTCAGTGGTCCTGCAGGGAGTTTGCAGCTCCGCAGTCTCACTGAGCAAGACCACGCTGTCCCTCCAGCAGCACTGGCCATGAGCGTGTCCCATCAATGCCAACAAGGTCAGCAGGAGTCAACATCAATAGATCAGGGTGCATAAGTACTTTATTGATGAATGGTCTTGCATTAACATCCCAGGGCTCAAAGTCTTTGACTCCACAGGCAATGGGGGGAGCAAGTTCCTTGTCTGACTCTGACGCAGGCGACTCCCACTTTCCTCATTTGCACCACGAAATGTACAGTGCCCCTGTCCTCAATGCGCTGGGAAAGTCCAGAAGCTGACCCATCCTGTCTGGCTTCCCTGGGCCTGGGAAGCCCCACTCCTCCTGATTGTCCCCCGATGAAAGCTTACGGAAGCTGGATTCACTTAGGTGGCAGGGTTGTGGGTTCTATTTTAGGCAGGATGTCAGTGTGTTTAGCCCGGGAGAGGGCTTCAGAGGAGGCAGGCACCTGACAGCTACAGAACACACTGGATGTGGAATGAGGCATTCTGCTTCCAAGAAGATTGACACGAGTCTGTGCTCGCCTGGCGGTAATGAGATGCTCTGCCTGCGTTCTGAGTGCAGAGAAGAAAAGGCAAACACAGTGTCTCACCAGCCTCTTCCCCAAGCGCAGTCTCGCTTGCCAACACCTCGCGGCGACATTACTAAAACATGGCGTCACTTTGGTCCCCCTTCACCCCTCCTTTGCTCCTCTCTTCTTTCCTGGGCCTTAGCGTCACTTACGGAGGGTAAGGCAGGGCCAGTGTCAGAGCCAGAGGGACCCACAACGGCCCCACGGAGGGAACCCTTTAATGGGAGGCTTTGTCTGAGAGGTGCAAGGGTGGGGTTGGGTGGTTCTAAAGTCAGGATGGCTTCTGTGAAGTTGAGCATTTTTCATTTTTGTTCTCCTTTCAGCACAGTTGGGATCACCATCTCAGCTTGTCAAACCCTTGGCAGTACTCTGTGGGGAATTTTTTAATATTCCCCAGTGCCTTACAACTCGCTCATTTTCATTTGCTCCCATGCATCCAAGTGTGGAGACCGTCACATACTGTGTTGTTGAAAACTTGTCAGATGTGCCAATTTTGCTTACAGAGATCTCACTGTAACTTCTCTTTAGACTCTAACTTCCTAAAGGTGGTCGCAAGGACATCCGAGGAGTTGAGCGAGGTGGGAAGGTTCATTGACCTGGAATACTTGTGTTTTAAATGAAAAGCTTTTCAATATTCAAAGGAAGTGTTTGCATCTACATATCCTTCAACTAAATCAGGAAATTGCAACTGAGGTTTGAAAAGGCAATACGGGGGCTTTCCTGTGGCTCAGTGGATAGGAATCCACTTGCCAGTGCAGGTAACATGGGTTCGATCCCTGGTCGAGGAAGATTCCACATGCAGGGGAGCAAGTAAGCCCATAATCTGCAACTGCTGAGCCCACATGCCACATTGACTGAAGCCCACGTGCCTAAAGCCTCTGCCATGAGAAGCCTATGCACTGCAATGAAGAGTAGCCCCCGCTCACTGCAACTAGAGAAAGCCCTCACAAAGCAACAAAGACCCAGCACAGCCAAAAATAAATTTTAAAAAAAGAAAAGGCAATACTGAAATTGATTTGAGGACAAAAATAGAAAGAGGCCACTTTTAAAGCATTTGTAGTCCAGGGACTAGCTTTTGGAGTTTGATTTTCTGGCTCCTAGGGCTAAGGATTTACCACAAGGAGATGTCCTGATGGAAGCACATATCACTGAGCAAACGGCCACTGTGCTGGGACTCCGGGTCCAGGCATCGGACACACAAGATGTATTCTCGTATTCCAGCTCTCCTGAGATGCTGAGGACTCTGGCAGAACAGCCTCGTACCTCCAGACCCTTCTCTATGTAACACACAGTGTCATGTGCCATGGAAGACACTGGGAAGACACAACTGGGGCAGGGGATGGGGTGATAAAACAGGCACGTTGCATGCAAAGATTCTAACAACCCAATGGAGGAGTGTATGTGTCAAAGTGGCAAGGACTCTCTGATAAAAATATCTACTCATGTGGTCAGTGCTCAGAGGAATATTTGGAATGAATGAGTGGTTTCAGAGGAAGAAAGATGAGGATGATGGCTAGGAAGACTTCCTAGAAGAAACAAGGGCAGAACAGCATCTTGGAGGTTGGGTAGAATTTGGCAAGTCAGAGAATCCATTCCAAATGGGCGGTGAGAAACATGGCAGTGGTGAGTTAAGTAGTTTCATGCAAAAGAGAGTGCAGACATTGGGCAGTCACAGGTTGGCCTGGAAGGGTCAAATGCCAGGGGAGAGTACTGAAATGGAGCTATTTCAGACGAGGACGTGATTGCGTGGAGAGAATGGACTGGAGTGTCAACAGGTGATTGACCAGGAGATGAGTCACTGGGATATTATTGTAGTCCTCCAAGTGTGAAGCAAAAGGCTTCAATGAATCCTTGGCATAGGGGATGCTTGATTCTTTGCCTTTCACCTCAATTCAACAAGCATGGTCTACTTTATGCCTAGGTTGTAACATTAGAAATTTTTGAGTGAAGTTATTGGCCCATAATCCCACAGCAAATAGCTCAGGCATCATTTGCAATGATCCCCTCTGTCTTTTCCCTGAGTCCAACAGTAACGATTAATCTCTGATGAATGTTTTAACCGGGACGAGGCCCATACTGCTATTGCAATGATAATTTGTGACCTAAGAGTTCCAGCTTCTCTGACAGGGACTTATTTGGTTGTTGCTGTTCATGTTCACTTGCCTTTTTGCTTAAAAGTGTTAAGAGCATAAGCCACAAGGGAGAATAAAGTCCATGTTGTAAGAGTAATTAAAAAAAAAAAAATCACTGAAATGATTACTAGTGTTCAT